CATCATCGTCATCACTGTCATTGTCACTAATAATAACAGGTCACGCTAACTGAGCGTTACCATGAGCCACATCTTACCCTAAACCCTGTGTGTTCTTAACCCACTTAATCCTCCCAAGGGCACTGTGCAGTGGATACACTGTCATCCCCATTTCACAGATGAAGAGACTGAAGTTCAGAGAGGTCAAGGCAGTAGGGGACGTGACTCCAAGCCTCTGCACTTTTCTTTTTTTTTTTTAAAGATTGGCACCTGCGCTAACATCTGTTGCCAATCTTCTTTTTTTTTCTTCTTCTCCCCAAAGCCCCCCAGTACAGAGTTGCATATTCTAGCTGTGAGTGCCTCTGGTTGTGGCATTTGGGACGCCGCCTCAGCGTGGCCTGATGAGCGGTGCCATGTCTGCGCCCAGGATCCGAACCGGTGAAACCCTGGGCTGCCAAAGTGGAGCGTGAGAACTTAACCACTCTGCCACGGGGCCAGCCCCCAGTGCTCTTACCCCCAGGGTTTCTCCAGCTCCACACTGTTTTCCCTGGGGGCTGGGTCATTCTTTGTGATGGGGAACGCCCTGTGCATTGTGGGATACAGAGCAGCATCCCTGCTCTCTACCCACTGGATGCTGGTAGCATCCTCCCCCGGCTGTCACAAGCAAAAATGTCTCCACACATTGCCAGACATCTCCTGGCAGGGGCAGGGAGGAAGAATTGCCCCTGGTTAAGGACCACTGCCTTGACCCCACACTTTGGGATGGAACAGGAAGTGATCAGCATGGAGAGACCTGGCTGCTGCAGCCCCCTAGAAGAATCTAGAATCTGAAAGGTGAGCTGGTAATCATAATCAGTGTTACGGCAATTATGGTTCTATAGCACCTACTACGTGCCAGGCACTCTAGATCTATTCCTTAATCCTTATTCCTTTAATCCTCACGAGGTCCCTGTGAGGAAAGGAGTGTGATCAAGCCCATTTGCAAACGCAGAACGGGAAGCACAGAGAGGTGGAGTGACCTGCCTGAGGTCACACAGCCGGTGAGTGGCAGAGCCAGGACTGGAATCCAGACCGCCTGGTTTGAGGCTACATTTAAACACTGTGTGAGGGTGAGGCTGGAGGACAGGGGAGATGAGGAAAAGAAGCTCTGGATTCGCAGGCTTTACCTAAGACCCTCCATCCCAGGAGTCTGGGACTCAAAAGGCTCAGCAAGGTTTTATTAGGCACCTGCTGTGTGCTCGATGAACTGGCCAAGAAGAGAGTAACAAAGCTGGTCTGGAGCTGTCTGCCTTCCTGCCGAGACCCTTTTCCAACTGGGTCACATTTCCCAGCCTCTTAGCCAACAGCCAGGAGCTGAGCACACATTAAATGCCAGTATTTGCATTTGTATTTAACAGATGCACAAAGTGAGGCTCAGAGACACCAAGCGACTTGCCAGGGACACACAGCAGTAAAGCAGGAGTCGACAGGCAGCTACGGGCATCTAGAGCCACCCCCAGGGCTCTCCTGGGACCCCCAGCATTTTGTTTTTCCAGATTCACAGTCCTATGTTCACAGGGTTGAAGGGCCAGAGCACGCACTGCCTTCTCCAGAGGTTTCTCTGCTCCCTGGGGCCAAGGACGCAGCCCTGATGGGGCTCAGCAGAGGTGGAGGACTGGGTTTCCCTTGGGGTCTTGGGGTCCCCTGGACATTGCCTCCGTGGAGCGGAGGCTGCATCCCCTGGAGCGTCCATTGCATCTGGTTCCTTCCCCAGCTGGACCCCGCCCATCCCAGGCCCCCTCATCCCCCTTGGTCCTTCCCAGAAGCCCCATGACTCCATTAACACTCGGGCCCCATCTGCAAGGCCAGGCCACCCTGGAGAAGGAGCCCACCTGGATGGGCTGCTCCCTCTGGGCATGACTTCCTGGGGGATGGGGAGATGGCTGCTCAGGCGAACAGGCCGCCCGGGGGTCTCTGGTCCCCATGGCCAACAGACAGCTGGGGACAGATGAGGGATCGGAACCCAAGAAGCCAACTGGGCTTGTTGAAGCCAGGCCCTAAGCCCGAGAGCCCCCTGCTCACTCACCACCCCCTCACACACTCAGGCGAGATGTAAGGAGTCTTACACGCCCCACCGGGCTCTCTCATCTGAAGGTGAAAGGGGATTTTATTCTGCCAGGCAACCCTGACACTTCTGGGGCGGCCATGGTGGCAGAACGAGGGGAGAAGGCCCAAGGACGGCCTCTCACCTGGACATGCACCCAAGTCACAAAGTGCTGGGCTCGAGGCAAACCAGCAGCCCTGGGATGATGGGGGTGGGGGGGCGGGCAGCTGAGTGGTGTCTGCCCCAGCTGCAGAGGGGAAACTGAGGCCAGCCCTCAGACCAGCACTCTGTGGTTGAGCAATGTTTCCAACAGCAGTCCCCAAAGCCGGGGGGGGGGGGGGCCTGTGTGTGCCCGAATGGGGGGGTGGGCAGTGGCAGTGGGAGGGGGCAATCTCCCCAGCTGATTAGAAACTGAGGGGCAGGGGCCGGCCCTGTGGCCAAGTGGTTAAGTTCGCGTGCTTGGCTACGGCCACCCTGGGTTCACAGGTTCGGATCCTGGGCACCAACCTACACCCGGCTCATCAAGCCATGCTGTGGTGGCATCCCACATAGAAGAGCTAGAAGGACCCACAACTAGGATATACAACTATGTACTGGGGCTTTGGGGAGGAAAAGAGAAAAAGAAAAGAAACTGAGGGGGAAGGTGGGAGGGTTGAGTTGTATCCACTCAGAAGAGTTGGAGGGTTTTTATTGTTTCCTTTCCCCCAGCTTTACTGAGATATAATTGACATGGAACATTGTATAAGTTTGTATGTGATGACTTGATACATTTATATATTATGAAACCGCCCCAGTAGCCTGAAGCTAACACCTCCCTCAGTTACCTAATTACCATTTCTTTTTTGTGGTGAGAACCCTGAGGATTATTCTCGTAGCAACGTTGGAGCACACAATACAGGATTGTCAATTATAATCACCACGCTGGGCCTGACCTCCCAGGACTTACTCATCTTCTAACGGGAAGTTTCGACCCTCTGACCAATGTCTCCCCATTTCCCTCACCGCCAGCCCCCGGTAACCATCATTCTACTTAGATTCTAGACAGAAGCGGGACCAGACAGGAATTGCCTTTGTCTGTCTGACTTGCTGGAGTTGGAGTAAAGACTCACTCCAGACACAGGAGGAATCTCAGAGGCAACTGACCAGACGCCCTTCCCTCTCCCACCTCCAGGCCTTTGCCCATGCTGTGCCCTCAGTCAGAAGCCCTTCCTCGCCTCTCCAAAGGCCCAACTCCTATTCATCCTTCAGGTCTCCTCCTAAATGTGCTTCCTCTGGGGAGCCTCGGGGAAAGGGGATCCACCCCACCCCCACCCCCGCTCACTGCAATGATCCCAGGGCCCCTCAGGGACTCCTTTCCACCCTGAGGGGTCCTCAGCCCTGTAGCTCACCTGCCTGCCCCCCTGGCTGGTCAGATCACCCGTGACTTCTATCACGATCGTTCTTTCCTGGTTCTGCCACTCCGAGCTGAGCAACCTTGAGCAAGTCCCTCAGCCTCTCTGTGCCTCAGTTTTCTCATTTGGGAAATGGGCATGCCAACGGCGCCCACCTCAGAGGGCTGTTGCGAAGTTGAAGCATGCCTGAAAGCAAGGGCTCCATCATCATCGTTATCATCATCATCGCCACCCTCATCAGCCCCTCTCTTGTTTTCCCAGTTCCTACAGTCCAAGGGCCACAATGGGATTCCGCTGCGCCCTCCTGTGGCAGCACCGGAGTATTGCAATCTTCTTGGCGCAACTCATTACGTTACTCTGGATTCTAAAGGCTGCAAGTTACCAAAAAAAAAAACTTTAAGTCAGTCCAAGCTGGTTGAAGTCAAAAGAGAATATCCTGGCCCTAGCAGTCTTTGCACGGGCTGTGCCCTCCTCTTAGAATGCCCTCACCCCACCACCTCCTTCTGAATATTCAAAATGCAACGTCAAGGCCACCTCCATTGAGAGCCTTTCTCCAGCTCCCCACTTATGCAATACTGAGCACCGACTGTGTGCCAGACCCTGTCTAGGCACCAGGATGCTGCTGTGGACCACACAGAGATGAAGAGCCCTTCCCTCAGAGCTGACATTCTGGTGAGAGACCCAGAGAATCAACAAAAATAAGTAGGCCACAGAGTATGTCAGGTGCTAAGAGTTAAATAAATGAGTTAGGGAGTGGCAGAGGAGGTGCGGGGGTAATCTTGAAGTTGGAGGGCAGGCCTCTCTGGGGGTGATGTTTCAGATGAGACTTCAGCCAATGGGAATATAGGGTGAAAAGTGTTCCAGGCCAAGGGAACAGCAAGTGCAAACGTCCTGAGGCAGGACAGTGACCTCCAGGGCATGAAATTTTTGTTGTTCCTGGTTCTGTCCCCAATACCTGGAGCAACACCTGGCACAAAATAGCGCTCAATAAACATTGCACAAATGAAAACCCAGCCATGGGTTTTAGGAACAGCTTGCTCAGGGCTACAAGGATGGCCCTGGGGGCCATTACCCTCCACCACCTGGTGGTTTCCTTCTTACAAGAGACCTCTCTTTGTTGTCTAAGATGGAGACTCAGCTTCAAATCCTACTCAGGATGCAAAAGTCTGTTTCCCACGATTCCCTGCAAAAGCGCCAACATGCCCATGCTCTAATCAGTCCAGGAGGCCAGGCAATGGGACATGGGTGTGGCTTAGGGCCAAGTCACATGCCCCACCCTGACCAGCCTCAGAAGGAGAGGGAGACCCCAAGGGACATCCAGGGCTGTGGCATGGCAGGGAGGAAGAAAGGATGCAAAGAGCCAGTTTCACACAATACCGATAAGAGGTTTACAGCTAGTAAGTGGTAGGTGGAGCCTAGGCGCTCACAAGGCAAAACAGCCCTGCCCTTCCCAGTGCTGTCTGGTGGCCACCCATCACCAGACTGAGGCCTGGGGGCTGGACCAGCCACTGGGCTGAAGGAGGGAGCTTGCAGCCTTAGTGCGAATGCAAAGGCAGCCCCCTCTTGGATGGAGACAGAGGTCAACCGGACGCAGCTCAGGGCAGAGGGAAGGCCGGCAGAGGCCAGACGCAGTTTCCCTAGATTCGTTCTTCAAATGGGGGCTGGAGGGCAGTCGGTAGCAACCAGGTGCGTGGGCTGCCCCTCTGGTCTGGTCCTGGGGGAGGATGGGGGGGAGGCGAAGCTGCAGTCGGATGGGAGCTCCAGCAGGAGGCTGGTATTTATGGAGTACCTGCTGTGTGCCTGAGTCCTGGCTTACCATTCCAAGCTCAGGTCAAGGAAGCAAATCTCTGGTTTTGAATGAACCCTCCCCCCTCTCTCCCCTCCCCCCGCCCTCTAGTGCCTGTTATTACTCTCCCCTCCCCCCCCCCCTTTAGGGATGAGAAACGGAGACTGGCCAAGGGCGAGGCCAGGCCAGGCTCTGCCTAGCTCCCTGGGGGCCAGACCACGAAAATGCCAAGAAGGGTGAAGTCTGGGGGGTCACCGCCCTTCCCCCTCCTAGCACACCGACCCCTGGCCAGGCACCCGGCCCCCTTGGGTCGAATCTCACCCCGGCCTGACTGTCCGGGTCACCCTCCGTCCATGCCTTGGCTCCACGTTAATGGAGCAAAACCCACAGGGGCCCCAGCTCCCATGGAGCTTTCAGGGCTCCTCAGCTCTGGTCTCAGTTGCCTCTTCTGCGAAATGGGCCCAGCCAGGCCCAGGGCAGGTCGAACCCCCAGCGGGGAGCTCCAGGAGGGCGGGGGCACGCGGCGACTTATTCAGCCGTCCCGGGCACCGTGCCTGGCACACGGGAGGCGCCCAATAAATACTTGTTCGAGCGAGGACCGGCCCTCAATAAATAACAGCTGTTGCCGATGCCGCGGACGCTGGCAAGAGAGTGGGCTCTCCCCTCCCCCACCCCTCCCCCGTTCCCCCATCCCCTTCGCGCCCCATCCCTTCCCGCACCCCGCGATGCCGCCCCCTCCTCCAGGCCCCCACCTCCTCCAGGCCCCCACCTCCTCCTGGCTTTCCATTCAGTCTTCCCCGCCCCCACGCAAATCTCCCCATCCCCCACCCTCCCTCCCCATCCCCCATCCTCCCTCCCCACCCCCCACCCTCCCACCTTACGCTCCCGCCCCCACCCCATCGCACCCCCTCCCGTCCGATTCCCCCTCCTCCCCCATCCTCACCCCCCGTGACGCCCCAGCCCCCGCGCGGGGCGCAGGCCGGGCGGGGCCGCCCGAGCGCCCGGGTCCCTGGCCCGGCTCCAGCCCGCGGCCCAGGCCGGGCGGCGGCGGCGGCGGGCGGGGTTCTGGCGGCGCGCGGTTTGGGGGTTTTTTATAACCCTGGCAGGCGGCTCAGGAAGTGCCTTCCCCGCGCCCCCTCCCCCGGCCACGCCGCCGCGCTCGCTCCCTCCCTTCCTGCGCGCGGGGCGCAGACGGCGCCAGAGCGGACGAGGCCCGGCGGGCGCGCGGCCGCAGGTAGAGGCGCGGGCGGGACGCGGGCTGCGCGGCTCCGGGGGACCCTGGGTGTGTGCGGCGGCCGGGCGTGGCTGGGGGCCGTGGGACGCTGGGCCGGCCGGCCGTGGGGGCTGTGGCGCTGTGCGATGTCCCCAAGAAGCGTGTGCAACCCTGAGTTCATACGAGCGCCTGTTTGGGTCGGTTTGCTGTGTGCGTGTGTGTGCGTCGGGGTGCGTGTGGATATCCACGTACGTGTAACTGCTTCTGTGTCTGCATGTGTGAGTGTCTGGCTGTGTTTGAGCTTGTGTGATCAGATGGGGTGTTGTGTGTCTGTGTGTGTGTGAGAGCCGATGTGTGTGTACCTCGACTGTGTGTAAATGTCTGAGTGAGTGTGTGCGTATCTCCAGACATCTGTGTATGTGTCTCTGGGAGTGTCTGAGTGGAAGGAGTGTGTAAATGCCTTTGTGTAAGTGTGTCGGAGTTGTGTGTCAAGGTTTTGTGTAACTTTGTGGGTTTGCCCCTGGTCTGGTGTGAGTGAGTAAATGAGTGTGTACGTGTCTGTGCGTGTAGGCCCGGATGTGTGTTTGTGTGTCTGGGTTTGTCTCTGGGTTGCCTATGTATGTGTGGGAATGAGTGTGGAAGAGTGTGTGTGTGCACACAGGTCTGGGAAGTGTGTAGTTGTGTATCTCGTGTGTTTGCCTCTGCGTGTGTGAGTGTGTCGGTGCATGCAGTGCAGGGGGCTGCTTTGTGGGTCTGCCGCGTCCGATTGTTGGTCTCCAGCTGCACAGGTGTGGTCGCCCCCAGTGTGTGCGCGTCGCTGTGTGTGTTTGTGTGTCTGGGTGTGAGAGTGGCGCCGCCCACTTCCCCTGAGTTGGTGGCACCGAGGCCACAGCCGTCTGGCTCAGGATGTCTCCAGCCCTTGGGGCTCAGGGCCTTTAATTAGCGGCTGGTTGGGGGGACCCGCTGGCCGCCGGCCCCTCCTCCTGCGGGCCGCGCGGCCTTTGTCTGCTCCGCGATCCGGGCAGGGTCTGCCTGCTGCCGGCCAGCCAGATGTGCTGCGCCCGGAGGAGGCCTCTGCCTGGGCAGCCTCTGCTGTGGCCTCTGCAGGGAGGCCCAGCGGCCTGTACCCCCGGCCAGGCCGGGACGTCTGGGTGTGGAGCTGCGGGTCCCTCCAGGATCCCCGGGATGGGATGGAGCCTCTGTTTCCGGGCTGTTTCCCGGCGGCATTTCCTCCACCAGTGTTGCCACCCTCCCCCACGCTGGCCGCCTCCTCCTGCCTTCTGGGAGGAGGGGCTGAGGGGAATGGCCAGGCTTGGGTACACACACACACACACACACACAGCCCCACGAGTGCACACACCACCCACAAAGTCACATACATACATACAGTCGCTCACACTCGGTTACACCCACACAGTCGCAGGATAGATCCCCTGCTGGCATCGGGTGCCCCCAGCCAGTCTCAGGCCCTGGAGCCCCCTATCCACTCACAAGCCTCATCTCCCACCTGGACTCACCAGACATGGCTGTGGTACCCCCAGTGCCCTGGGCAGGTCACACCTCCTAGCTGCCCCCTGGGCTGGGCCTCTGTCCTTGGTGCTCCACCCCCCCCCAGACCCCCCCCCCCATCGGTGTGGCAGCCTGCCTCACTGCTGGAACCGTGTGTTGTGCAACTTCTTGGCCTCCGACTGTGCCACTTTGTAACCAATGCACTACCCACTTGTGTGTCTTACCACCTTGACCATCCCACTGACCACCCAACTGGTACGCCATCCACTTTTCTGCCTGTACAACTGGACTGCGGTTGTATGTCTGCCATTTGCGTCCTATTCTCAGACTCCCAGATTACGTCACTCGGTGTTCCACAGTGCCCACCACCCAGCGATCCAATTTT